GATCAACTCACTCACGATTTCCCCACTTTCCTCTTCAGTGCCGGTAGCTCATAGGTCAACACAGCGGGCGACTTGGTATTGTAGCTCTGTATGAGCACCTTTAAATTGGCTGTCACTCCCAACCTGAAAAGCGATCTAAGCATGCTTATAAAAGACGCAAGATACACTTTTTAAAGTTATCTCTTATCCTCTACAAGCTTGCCGAGATCGATCATCTATATACAACAAAGTTGGGAGTGTTTCCAATCCTGAAGCTTTTCGTTAGTATGAGATGCATGCAGGTTGATGTTGACAGGATACGGGTATGGATAATAACACTACCAACGCAATGCTCCTGATATTTCATCTCATGTTTACATGATTTGGAATAAACACTAAATTTAATCGTTTATGCATACAATCCATTAGGATCTCCAAGTGCTTTCAGAATCTGAGTGACCAGATAGGAGTAGTTGGCATGACCTCTTCCATGCGGTTCTGCTGTTAAACAACTTGGCTTTCCGAGTGAATAAACGTCACACTTACTTAGTTCATCGACTTTTAGTGTGAATCTGATAACCTTGTTAGCTGTCTTGACTTGGATTATTTTACTATGCATATAACATGGCTGTGTATTATTTTGTTTTTGGGATGACGAAGCTCGCATTATGTCCCACCCTTGAGCACAGTATCGTAAGGCATTAACAGTTCTACACAGGTACATTCGAAAATACCACGGTATCCCAATGAAAAGCACCAGTTGGACCTAGTCAAACAAGTACCTTATGGGAAGATCCCCGCTCGAAGAATCATCCGAAACTCTTAATTTTCTGAGACGACTGAATAGCTCGTAAATCATATATTTGGTTAAGTGGAAATTTGTTTGTTTGTACGTCATATTATACGGTCCAGTTCAAATATGATTTACGCAAAACAGGCAATAAGCATGAAAGACCGTCAGGGATCTGAATGCGCAATATCTCCATGATTCTCATTACTTGAAGCAAACACAGTACAGCTCTCCTGCGACCCAAAAACGAGTCTGTACTTCCTGTCGTCCAATCTTAATCATTCTTTGAGATGTGGTCCTCAGGTTTACCGCCGCATAAAAAATTAAATTTCATGATAAGCCAATAATGGCAAGCCGGTCAGCCGAAAATCCCTAGTGGTCAGGTAGGCCCAATAATAGAAGGGTTAGTTTTCATACGCATTCGGGCGAAATGCACAGTCAGAGTCCCACACCTGGTGAATTACCAGGATAATCGATCTGCATTCCCCTTGAAGGCACAACTTACTTGACAACCAAAATGAATGGAGGTGCGGAATTTGCTCGACCCAAACTTATTTGGGACAGACTGAAAATATATGGCCTCGGGTGATTCGAAGAAAGGAAGGTTCAGGGATAGAAAAATCCACTCTGCATTTACCAGTTCCACTCAGAGGTGCGTGAACCGAGAAAGGCGTGACTTACGCCGAGTGCACATTCAGGAAACGGCATGTGAAAATTTCTGAGTACTCATTAATTTCCGACAATGCTGTAACCCTCTCAAGGGTAGTTGTTAACATCTGTACATTCAATCAGGTGTTTCGTGATATATTTTGGACTGAACTAAACTATTTTCGTTTTGCCGAATTAGACAGCAAAAATCCTAAACGTTAGCGAGGTTTTCAGTGGTTTAGAATAGAGCAAAATAGGTAATAAAACGGCTTCCTTTCAAATACAAACGGTTAAGTCTCGGAAAGAGCATTTTCGTCAAAATGAATAAGGTCGAATTAGTATGTTGTTCCAGTGAACCCAACTATACATCACCTATATATGGGTATGCCCTACCCTCTATTAGATTGCCTACAATGTCAAATAGCTCGTTATGAAGCAGCAACGCGATTTTCTTTAAACGAGATGCTGGTGAATAGGAACTAAATAAGAAAACCAGAATTGTTTCACCTTGCATGAAAAGCCAGTGCTGAAAGCGAGGGGCATCACACAGGTGTATCATACTGGTAGTTTCAGATTTGGGAATTTTGTCCTGTAAGTGAAGCCGTGCTGGAAACAACCGTACAGCTGTTCTGCCCTACTACGGGAATCATCAACAGTGTGCATTTCACGAAGGTCCAGGGACTCTCGATCCTGTGAACTCCCCAGTAATTTGAACCGTCCGATCAAGAGCGGTAGATCAGTAGAGCGGTTAGCTCAATTCTCCATCCGCGAATTCATTATTCGATAGGCCAGTCAACAGGCAAGACAACGTTATTAAGGATGATTAGCGCTATATCTCGTCTAAGTGCAAGATAACCACACTGCTAGCCAGTCTCTCGTGGCCGGATAACCATATCATAGTTTTTGGGAGAGAACTAGTCAACACCTGACAAAATTTCAAAGACACACGAAACCATCACTTTCCTAAAAGAAGTTATCACACTCCATCATTTATTCTAATAGTAAGACTAACTACTCGCTTACATCATCTCAACTTTACCGCTGCCATTTTTTTTACGTGCGAGACCAGCCGCATCGTTCAGCCGTAGCACCCATCCGATGCCCAACTTCCATGCCACCTGAAGGAAACAGGTTGTCCATAGACAGAGGAAGTCGAGGGGCACAGGTCAGATTCGAACAAAGTACCTTCCGGTCAGTAAATTCGCGCTCTAACCACTGAGACATCTCGCCCCCGTTCTACACATAGAAGGAATACAATTCTAGTTATGGGTACAAGGAACGTGCTATCAACCCCCAACCTACAACCATAAACCATTTTTCACAACGAGAATAAAAACGGTTGAAATAATTGCTAATCATACGACCACAAGAATGGTAGAAATGCATTCATTCCGCTAGACATACTGTTACGACCTGTCTTACCCAACCTCAAAATCACCGCGCAAAAGTTTATTCAAATGGGGTCAAAAATAAAGTAGAGTAATCAACACCGACACAGCAAACGGCATAAGCACAATAGATGAAGATGCCCTCATAATTCCCTGCTTAGTTTGGTAACTTTTAAACCAGGAGACCTAGCAAGAGATACCACTAAGAGTGAGAAGAAACATCACAAGATCAATGTAGTGTTTGAGGCATGTGAAGTGGAGATCACAAAACCGGCAGAAGTAACGTGCCGCACATACATGCGATGTGATTGTCACACATCAAATAGCTGGGTACTTACATTGCTTCTGAACAGTGAATCACGCCACTGACGGGTAGCAAGTAAACAAGACTCTAACAGAAATCGCTGGAAGACACACATGTCGGAAATTGAATTCAACACCACGTACACACAAATCACAATAAATCCTTCACAATCATACATATACTGAAAATCAGATGAAGCGGTATTCATAGGAAGCGGTCACACTATGTTAAGGTAGCACAGTTCGCAAAAGTTAAATTGCTGTCTCATCGATGGGTTTCTTCCTGGCATCTGCCTAACCTCTATTCCCTACTTCGCACGGAGGAAGTTTTCCGCTGGGACGGTATCACATTTAAAAACGCTAGTAAGTGACTCGAAAACGAAACGGTGCGCAATATCCGCCGAATACGTAGGACGTGCAATCCTGCTCACTTTTGGATGTTAACAAAACAGATTTGTAGTGGTGCAGCAAATGAAGTACACAGATATTATGCACAAGGGCCGAAATTCTACCAGATTTCTTCGACTTAGAAGTGAACAGCCAGGTATCTGGAGAGGGATGGGCTTGAACTCCCAATCAGCAGCCAGTACCAGAACCCTTGTGTCAGCTCATGTATAAAAATTGGCGTAGCGTCCATTTGTCACAAGTCACTAGTGCGAAGCAAGAGGGTTAAAATATGGCCACATTTGGCAGGCTGAGAAACAGTCAAAAGACCGAATCGATAATGAGAACGTTTTCCTGTCAGCCCCAACCATGGTTGTACGAGGGATACTGCCAAAGAGGGTTAAAATATGGCCACATTTGGCAGGCTGAGAAACAGTCAAAAGACCGAATCGATAATGAGAACGTTTTCCTGTCAGCCCCAACCATGGTTGTACGAGGACTGTGATACTGCCAGGGCGCCCACACCTAGACAGGAGGACGATTAGGGTCCTCAACCAAAGCCTTTGGCTCAAAAGCCTAACCGCAAGGCAGCGGTGTTTGGCGGGAAATGCAAATGCATTACCATTTCTACGGAACAAGTCTCCACATGTTCCAACCCCCAATCTGGAGGGCCAGGAGACTGTTCGTCAAACCTCTAACCATTGACCAACCTGGTATGAGAGACTCTGTGAGTGTCACGGGGGCACTCCCCAGTATAGCTCAATGGATCGCTGAGGTGCGCAAACCGTCACACTACGGTAAGGTCCAGTCTCTTCGTGATTTTACTGATCATCACTCGTACAACAGAGCAACATACAGAATAGGTTGTCTTGAGAAACACAGACAAGGACATGAATCCACAACTATACAGACAATCTAACCGACCCGATCCCACCAACCGGGTATCATTTATGCAGAGTGAGTTCGGTACGTTTTCGCTTATTTGGCTGACTTGCAACTTTTGGTCGCCCAAGTGGAACCTAAAAACCAAAGCTCCACCATTTGTGACGTGTCGGACCAACGTTTCCGAAGTTTGAACCTCTTTGAAATGTGGAAATTTCCATCCCAAAAGTGCAATAGTACCTCCCTTACGAATCCACTATGTGATACTTCAAGGAGCAGGCATGAAAGACAATCACCTAGCTAGTTTGGATACATAATCTCTCGCTGTTGTCACGGTCGTTACGCTTCGGAACTTTGCTATCTAGTCGTTAGTACAAGAGATCCAAACAGATTCTGTCAAGCTCGATGCCTTTTTCCCACTACCAAACAACTCTGTTTCATTGCTCAGAGGACTGGGAATCTTCGAAATTCTTGATACATCTTAAAAGTGCCAACTTTTCAAGACCTGAATTCCCACCAACGACGTCGAATGTTTAGCATCGTTTGTATATTGAGTATAATTCTCAGCACAATTTCTTCTGCTTAAAAGTTGAATGCGTTTAGAAAGTGTCTGCTCCGCAGGAGGCCCCCAACTGACGATTTTCCATCTGTTCGTTCCAATGGAGAATAAAAAAGACTAGCATCTGATAAACAAAAACACCCTCGACAACCAGGATAGCGCTTTTGAACATCACCACTTAAGAAGAGGGTAAAACCATCCCATGACACTACTACCAACGATTGGTCCATTGGTGCGAGGGAGGACTGTATACCCGATTACCCAAGTTGTATTTCTAATTGTTGAAAAATGACAACTGATGAAAAATAGCAAGGGAAATCCGTAGAGATATGACAGCTAACTGCCGGGGTCAAACAGTAAGTAAAAGGTCATCTAAGCGATATGTCTCAAATCAAATGATCAGGCAGTATCCTTAGCATGAGCGGGCGAAAGCAGTTTGGTGAGCATGAGTGCTGTCTCAAGAAAGGGCGCGAATCTTTGCCTTGTGATCGAAAGCGAAGCAGCCGAAACTCAACCAGTCTAATAGGCGAATATCCGATTTCTCGCATAATTCAGCTTGGCCAAATTCGGATAGCACGCAAACTCGACCATTGGAGCGGGACCGCAGAGCAGGACAAGTGTATCGTTGCCCGGCGGATACAGATGTTCAGACAGAACAGATTCCGTCACGTAGCCAGAGCTGTATGTCCAATCTGACGGAGGTTGGGATAAAGTGGATAGAGCAACGGAAAGACACATCTCAGTCTTGACAATGAAAATTACCGATGGAGGACACCGAGATATGAATGGATACACATAACCATGTGCAAAAAACCTGCTTACCGAAACCCAAACTCGTCTTGGCCGCAACTCAACCGACAGGGCACACATCCATTAGGCGGGTTTGAATCCCGACCAACGGTGTTTTTTCTGTCTTGGGTGCATTTGGGTCCTTAGTCAAGTCCGAGCAACAGGGTAAAAAGTTCGGGTTCCCATAAAAGTGTTCGACTGAACAAAAAATCGATGGTCACACCATATCCAGTTACAAGTTCTGCCAGGGTGGAGTGTATGCACTCACGAGATGGCGCACACGGTAGAACTGGGGATCGAATTAAGGCTGATCAAAAGACCACACGAATCGAGTGCATTGTTTCATTTGAGGCGATCATTCAGAGTTGTTAAAGCAAAAAAATATCATAGTTTTACATGTCACGTGATGTCGGCTACTTTTTGGGCGTAAATAATCCGGCTGTCGTTAGACGTAGAGGGAAAAGGTCAAGACATCCAACGAAGTCCGTTCCGCAGCATTCCCAGAAGACATAATCAGTATTATTATAATTCTCATCGATATTTTGGGCGCCAAAATGCTAGCGCAAATGCGCTGTAATAAGATAGAGTGCCGCAAATGTGCCAAATGTCGAGCTGAATGGCTTTGCGATGGACACGCAAAATACAGGTCCGGCAACCCTTTCAAGTTACATTAAAAAGCATGTGTCCGTAAAAAACAGGATTGTAAGTGGCCCTATTTCAAAAACCGCGGCATTTAGGGTGTTAATTCAGCTCCGTTGCCTGGAAAATAGCTGCAACTTTCAGTTGCTCAAAACAACTGGAAGATAGCCTTGTGAAAGAAGCAGTTAGTCTAGCGGACATCTAACGACAGATCTTGATTAAAGTGGTAAGTTTGAAGAGACGGCGGACCTACACCCAAACCTCGGCTTTCAACTTGTTCCCACAATACCTTGTAAGCGCTAGTGTGTGCAGAAATCCGCCTTGAGGCTCCGTAAAGTAAATGTGTTATCCGCAGGTTTGCTGCTATTTCTCATGTATAGTGCTTGCAACACCCGGCCATGTTCGTAACGATCGCCATACGACAGAACGCCGATTAATCCGTCCAATACGATAGAGTACGATTTTCGGCCAAATCTGATGCAGTAGATAATCTGATGGGGCGAAAGTCTCCCGCTTAAGTTGTCTGTCAGAGCCATCCAAATCCGAAAGTCCCCTCCAAAAGACAAAGGGTCATGGAAGGAGCTTCTGACCGACCGGCACTTTGGATACCCTACCAGTTACTCAAGGGAACTCAGTACTTGAAGGTTATGTGAAGGTCACTAGCAGTTCACAGCACACTGCTAGTTCACCTACCAGGTGCATGACACGAAGCCTAGCAGATGGCGTTACGTTTAACAGATAACATATGTTGTAAGATACACATATAAGAGTTAAGGCTGTACAGATGATGATTGTTGAGCCATATACTAACACACAGTGTGACGTTTTCATTACGTAACGGCTCTACTTGAAAAATTCTCTCGCTATCTAACAACCAAAAGCATCAATTTTTGCGATGTGCACCGCAAACGACTGACATGGGTCGCTAAACAGACCTTGCTGTCTTGTGGTTAGCACCAACACCAAAATACGTACGGAAACTGGATTGAGTTGGGCGGTGAAAGCCCCTGGGTGGGAATGTGCACTATACTCATTGTTACCTCAAATTCAGTTTTGTATGCATCATATTGAATTGTCCTACCCTTCGAGCCCTAATTTTTGTTGAGTTTACCATTAGATGTATCTCACGTGTACACCAAGTGAACGTAGCTGATTTGGATTGGCGGTTTTAGTACTTTTTATCGGTATAACCAACTGCTATTTATGTCAGGCATTCCGTTCTGCGTGGTGGAGGATGTTCTGTTAGCGCAAAGGGATTAACGGCAGCTCAGGTGTGAACCTCAGCGGAAACCGTTGTATATACTGATTAGTAGACCATCTCTCTGCTCGTGAATGAGAAAGCTAATAAGAGTCCTGAGGATTGATAACTTTTTGGCAGGCTGCAGAATCCAGGCCATCTGCAGGCATCAGCCCATAAGAATCCCTTCCTAGTCCATATAAAATGAGTGACAGCGTTACCTCAGAATACCACCAACCATGGACTTGGGGACTGTTCGAACATGTTCGAAAGCAACCCCGGTCACTTGCCGAGGCGCCGCCAACCTCATGTTCTACCTAAACCTAAAATTAACGAAATTCGACCAATATACTCATTTGCATGCCAATTTGGTTTTCGAGAGAGACTCACCTGAATCGCAGCTGAATCTCTCGTTTGTGAAAAATACCATCCAGATTCAGTTATGATTCAGGTAAATCTCCATTGAAAGCTAAACTGGTATGAAAAAGTGTGTATTTGTCGAAAGTATTACTTAATTTGAGGGGGTGGGACAGAATGTTTGCAGACTGGTTTAGCAATGCAAGATTCACTAATGGATTTGATGGCTCTCCACTGTGACGTCATAGACCGTCACAAACAAACGACGATCTGACAGCGAGGTTGGGATGCACAAGTTTGTGTCCAGCCATTGACATCACTGGAATACTGTATACCGTTCATACACGCGCCAGATTGGCACCAAAAAGGAGGCTCGTTTGAGCCATTAGCTACAATTTAGTGCGGAAACTATCAAAAAAGGCCACTTCGGAGGACATCACACACCTTTATCTTTCGTAGTGCCCTCTCCTAAACGAACATTGTTGTCTCAATGTTCCCCATGAATCTCTTCGCAGCGCATGGTCACTGTTAGCACAAGCAAATCCGAAGTATACTCATTTGCAAACTCATCTGGTTTTACGCGAAGCTCAAATGGAACCCAATTGAATCACGCGTTTATGCTGTCTTTCAACTGAATTTGCTGCACAAGGACAGTCTCATGTTGGTACGACATTCGAGATACCACAGTATATTTTCTTGACGAAACACTACTTACAAGGTCGAAGAGCTTGTCAACAAAAAAATCGGAAACCGGTTGTAACAGGACCAACAGTTAGCATTTTCACACTGTAAGATTTCGATAGGCCGAGAATCACTAAAAGTGGACAATACAAGTAATTTCAGTATCCGCACGGGTTACGCGGTACTTCGAATGACATAGCGGAGTGATGCTCAACGGGTGTCCAACGAGCATTCACGGTGAGTGTCATAATTGTGTTGCTTCAAATGCAGATGAACTGAACGCTTTCGGAAACGGATACAGTGACTACAATCGGAAATAACACTCAGATTTCCAACTAAGTAGGAAAGCCAGTGAATGGCTACTCACTTGCAGGTGGCTCCTTCACCACATACCACACGCGAAGTTGATTGGGAAATTTCGTCGTATATGCATCCAGTTCATCACGGAGCAAAATGTCACCTTCAGACTGAAAACGAAGAAAAACGAAAAAGACAGTGACCGAGACCGTTACAAATCGAGGAAGAGTTGGGGAAAAGACGATCAAGTGGGCATGAGCAAGACTCAGCGGTCGATATACATGGCGATGAAAGCATGTAGAGATGGAAAGTAGAGGATAACAGATGAGATAACTTGCAATCGAGCGTCGAACATTTTCTGTCTGTAACCACTTCCCTCAACATTCTACACGCCAGATTTGCCCAACAGCTTCTCATCCACCAGTTAACAAATGCGGAATGAAACCCCTGTCCATAAAGCCGAAATAACCTTCCATAAAAATACATTGGCCACTGGTATCATCTGCTCATTCTTGAGATTTCACCAAACGGCAGGTTAACAAAAGATAGGATCACAGATCAGAGCAACCCATCCAAGAAGAGACCCGTTGGGAAACGCGCCGCTCATCAGAAGAGCCCAAATTGCGAGATGACGCCTATTTTTCGTATTAGTTTTGGGTTTATATAGGCCATCATGCAAGCCATGGAGTCAACTAATTTGTTTTCCGACGAATAGTTTAACCCTTCGCCTGATATTGTGAAAAAATGCAGTAATTTCAACAAAATATCCATTATGCTAAATACGCCCATCGTAATTTAGAGCACATAAGTAAACGTCACATGATTTTGATGTGTTCTCGTCAAGCAAATAACATAGGACTATGGAGAAAAGGGAAATCGCGATATAATTGGTTAAGAGCACCAGTCAATAAAATCAATGTGAAGTACTTTCCTTGTTTAGTTCCTCAAACCAAACCACATGATTAGTGCACCTGCGCCTAATTCGATCGATACCACTCAACGGCCAAATCGTTCAGCATAAGGTACCGACAAAAAAACACTCAAAACAGCTGAACCAACTGCAGTCAGTGCTCCACCCTGGGTCGAATTCAACGTTGCGTCCGGTCTAGGCAAGTAGCCATACATTCGCAAATGAATCGCTAAATAATTTTGGATCGGCGATCACTGGCGGCATGGGAACGCGATCAGCCTTTCTAAGAAAGTCTGGCACAGATACATAGAAAGTCTGCATCACAGCTGTTGGACAGAGCCGTATGATAGTGCTATCTCTGAATGACAGCTTATTGAAAACAAGCGCTTCTAAGACAGTGGTAGACCACGCAAGTTTGGATGTCTGGATGCTGTTTTCCAAATGAACAACTCGGGATAGCGGCCAGACCCGAGACTATTTGTGTTGATGAGTTCTGTAAGCAATTTGTCATTAACTTAGACTGGTTAGGTTCGACGGTGCAGATTGAGTATACGGATATTTCGGTCAATGAAACTCCTGCCCCGGATATAGCCACATATTGAATTACGGGGCTTAGATACATTCGTGGTTTACAAGCCCGCTTTCCAACAATTTATAATATGAGCACATCTTTGATACGAATAATCTGTAACTAACACATGCGTATAAATGTGTGCTTTATTAAAAGTGAACAAACCGTATTTACGAGTTCCTAAACTTGAATGAATGGCTGCGTTAATGACACACCTCAGAAAACCAGTCTGATCACTGTATCGATCGATCAAACTGCTGCACAAGCTATGTGCGGCCACGTGAGTAGATATTCAGTCGATGAAAATTAGGGATGGGGTCACTCAAGGAAAGAAGGAAAAAGGGTAGGCTGGAGAGGGGAAATTACAAACACTGAAATGTTTTTTTTTCATTTCGATGTACAATTGCAACAGTCATATTCCGAAAGAAATGACAAAATCAGGAATTGGCTTTGACTGCATTCGCTGAATAATCATCTCATCATAAGGTTGCTCACTCGATGTACCGCGCAAAATGCAGCACAAGTGTTTGTCCTTGTTCTACGTGTCGTGCTCTAAAGGAAATTCGGTACATGGGGGCATAGGTAGTTGGTCCGCGAAGGCAACCGTGCTCGGTAACTTATATATGCAGTGGTGACTTTCTGATAAGTAACTGTATAAATAGTAGGAACGTAATACCCAATAGCCGGTACGGGCAGTTCAGATGAGAAAGACCGTTCCTCCGATCAAATCCGAGCAGACAAGTTGTCAGTAGTCAACAGAATTCACTATAATTCACACTCACATTACTCTCGCCTAAACGGTCCCCCTCCTGTCCTGCTGTAATTATTCTGGTGCGTCCACATCAAAGGGGGGTGCAATGGACTCGATGAGTTCTAGTGGGAACGAAACTCGAGTCCAGTGATCCCCTTTTTGGCATGGACTGATGAAAAGAATTGCGCCCAGACGGGGGGAGCACTGTTCAAACGAGAGTGATGCGAATGTGGAATTCCCGTAACCATCTACAACTAATTCACCATAATACTGTCATCTCGTTGGGGAAAAAGCACTTCTTTCGGTGAGAGCCAAATACAAATACAAAAAATAATTCGGGAAAAAGTCCGTCTATAGTGTATTAAGTGACGAGGCACGAACTCTATGACTTTATAAAACGAGCTTAGTCACAGATGAATAAAAAATATTCCTGAGAATTCCTGAAGTTCACCAGCTTGCTCCAAGAGACATGGAATCTCATTTCTGAATGATGGATTCTCTTTCTAGTAAATCCAAAAACCCGCTAAAAAAGTAACAAATAAGTGGCAACTGAGCTCTGTGTTTCCTACAGGGTTGTGGAACTCCTTGCTGAAATCATAGAACTGTCTAAGAAGGCAAACCAGTACGTCCAGACATCTTTTTTACGTTCATTTTGGGTTCATAAAAGTGGTATTATGATCGATTGGCATAGAAAGACCAGACAGTAGAAAACGAGTGAGACAACGTTATGGGACTACACCAAGGTCCTCCGTCATCCCGAGAGATTTTGACAGTCCTTTCCAAATAATTCGCATTAAAACCCTGATAATTAACTAAACCATAATTTTAACGAGCGTATAAGCAACGTTCCGGGTTCACTGGTCCAGTGTTTTAATTAACATACGGAAGAACACCGAACGGAAGTCAAAGCACACTTCTAAGTCAAAACAGGCAGCACAAGAATACGAGACAAGTTTGATGAAAGAACTTCTGGAACGACAGAAATCACGACTCACGTTGTTTGCGAAAACTAGAGATAGTCGCGTCATGTCCTTGTCATTACTGAGAATGTACGACAGGAGTTGGAACATGGGGGTTATTCCGGAACCACCACAGATCATGTTCACGAACTTGGCAGTGTACTTCTGGGCCGGACTAGATTCGTCTGGTTTGATGTCGAACACGCCTGCCAATGGAATGTAACGTTTATCAGAAACCACACCCGCGGGAGATCGATTGGAAGATTCATTACGGCAATAGTTTTGGTCTCATCACAACTGTTGGGCTAGTTGTTAGGATCAGCTTGTTATTCAACAAAACTCTCTCTTTTACAGAGTTCCAACCCAAATGAAGCCCACCAACAAATGTCGGCCAAAGAACTGTCGCGGTTTACGGTAATCTGTGGGTTCTTATCGACTGTAAACACAACCTTGCAAATTCTCAAGTGGATATGACTCATGGGATGAAGACGAAATCCCATGAAAACCAAATTTCTTCGAAATTAAGTGCATTTGTCGAAATCAGTCCAATATGGATGTTAGGATCAGCTTGTTATTCAACAAAACTCTCTCTTTTACAGAGTTCCAATCCAAATGAAGCCCACCAACAAATGTCGGCCAAAGAACTGTCGCGGTTTACGGTAATCTGTGGGTTCTTATCGACTGTAAACACAACCTTGCAAATTCTCAAGTGGATATGACTCATGGGATGAAGACGAAATCCCATGAAAACCAAATTTCTTCGAAATTAAGTGCATTTGTCGAAATCAGTTCAATATGGATTCAAATAAAACATAAGGTTGACAGAAACTCGGGGACTGCGCCTATCTGATGAGCCAGAAGAGGGGCGAAACTGGTCGTGGGCTGTCGAAGGGCTTTCACCAACCTTGTGAGTAGTTTCCTTTATGAAAATGAGACATTGTACTTGGGAAAAATTACAACAGCTGGACACGGTTGGCGCCTGATCAGCATAGTAAGGAAGATGAGAAACCCAACACAATTCGCACTCTAAGGGCGAAAACAGTTCCTTCAACCTAATCGTCTTCTAAAATATAAAAATCAAGAATAATTCTGCGCACTTCAGGATACGGCGCACGAAAGGCGAAGGATGTACACAGAGGAGGCTCGACTCAAACGTATGCTGCGTAAAGTACCGCACAGACGTAGGTGAGTGATAATCGATAACAATAATCTATTAAAGTTCCAGCACATTCTCGATTGAATTAGTAGTTAGTAAAAGACAGTGTCAATTCGCAAAAGGGATAGCTGAAACATCGCTAACAAGGATACCCAGCATACCTCAGCAACTCCTTTGTGCGCATGTGATATCTTTACAAAATGACAACTAGGTGACGGGTTCCAAGGCTGATTTCAGACTCTGGTGTGTGCAACTGAAATGGATGGTGACTAACGCCACAACCAGTACATGTTTATGGCGGATCAGAAACGAAAACCGACTTCTACAGGCCTGAAAGCAGATGTGTTCCAGAAAACTAGTCGAAGAAAACTTGCCATCCCAGTGTCACCTCTACGTACTATACTGACACAAGTCAACTTTTGGGTTCCAGCCGGACGAACTCAAGGCGGCTGAGAAATTCCAATGTGCAGGCGGTAAGACGGAATTAAGAAAACAAGAAAGTGTGAGTCAAAGAAATGCCCACTTTTCCCAGGTCCAAAGGTAACCAATCAGAAAGTCAAACTGGGACTAAAACCGGCAATCTGTCAGTAAGGAGCTCGCACCCTGAGCTACCCAGGGGGCCGCAAGACTTTCAGCAGTTTGAAGGCAAAATTCATTCACACTGGAGAGAATTTGATATTCCAGAGCTTTTGGTTACTTGTGAATAGGCTTTTAGCGTGGTTCCCAAGTTCACAGCTGAGTTGGCTGGTGTGTCTTACTATAGTCTACACGGGTTATCCCCTAGGACACTGTAGATAGCTCAGTGTTTAAGGCACGAACTTACCAAAGGTCAGTGGTTCGAACCCAAATCCTGCATCTCGACCGCTCCTGTCTAGGTTTGGACAACCTGAGAGTAACCCAGCCCTCGTGCTCCCTTCGGGTAGGGTGGTAGCCGGGCATCGACAGGGTGTTACAGATGAACTAGGACATTGTAAGTGTTGAATGGAGATACATGACGCATAGCCTGTAACTGTCTGTAACTGACGAGAGCTCATTTAGCTAAACAGTTCAGCAAACAGTTCAGCAGATAGACTTCTATCTGAGAAGTCGTTGCTCCAGGAGCCAGTCAACACGTGTGACCGCGTGATTTGGATCCCGTGATTGAAGGATGAGCGGCGCTATGTCCTGACTAAGTGTGAGTTAATCACACTGCTGATCAGCTACTCGTGGCCGAACGGTTAAGTGTTCAAACTACTAGCCGGGAGGTTGCCGGTTCGAGACTCTTCGGAGTTTCGTGAGATGCGCACTGCTGATGATTCCCAATAAGGATGAAACAGCTGTACAGTGCTTCTCGGCATTTCAGCATAGATTGGCTCCACTTACATGACGAAATCCCACAAAAATCCCAAATCTCCTCACACTACCAATAGACTAAATCATTTCGTTAAATACCTTTATTTACCAAGTCTGGTGTGTTTGCACCACTCAAATGGATGGATACACTAACTCCATTTCGAAAGTGGGGTGTTTAGGCCCACAAACACAGACAAACTTCTACCACTCAAATTTTCTAACACTCGTCTGACTGTCACAATAACGTCTGAGAAGCCCTGGGATGAAATGATTGTTGGACTTGCCGAAACTATCGGCAGGCTAGTGATAATAAGTTCCTGGAACCTTAATTTTTAACACAAGAGTATTGGAGTCTGATACTGCTACCGCTACCCCACTACATAAGGGGATGCTGATCATTTTCCCGCAACTCTTGAGAATGCAACACAGTGTTTAAGCGATGAACAAGCAATACGACGTTTTCGCATTTCGCTAAAACCATGGTTTACTTCCATAGCCACGTCTCAGGTAAGTGAAGCACAGAAAAACGTAAACCAAACATGCCGAACCCGGAAACATTGGCAGGATAGTCAGGCATTATAAATATAGTGTGGAAACCACTTATGACTAAGTCAACATTTGAAATATTAAGCCGTTGGTACACCAAAGAACTGATAAGATACTAGCTTGCTAGTAATCTGATAAGTCATTGTTTGAACTAAAGTCAGTGAGTTCGAATATTCTCGGTCTCCCATTGGATAGAGGTGTAACTTCAAATTGTAAAGATACACTTCATCGGGAGACTAGATAACTTCGACGAAGAATATTTACCCTTAAAATACTTTAAATCCCCACCTCCTCGCCTAGATCTCTTCTATCACACTTCACGGTGTATCGTGTGCAGAATCTTCAAACGTTGTTATTGTGCATGATTTTTACAAAGATTCAAGAATTCCGTTAGAGCAGTTGAAGTCATGTGATTATTCATAGACACACGCACACACACACATCGGCATTATATCGAAAGATTTGGTGTTAAAGATGTGCTCGAGAGTGAATTGCACCTAGTGTTCTCTTGTGAATTCGAATTCGATACGACAGTCTCAGATGGCCCGATTTACGTCAAGTTTGCATTAGTCTATGGTCTGTATTCACACAGAAAATTGCTTGATTACTCTTGTCCGTGGCATACTTGACAAAAAGCTTTGTAAACTTGGTAGATTCATATGTCTCCAAGATGACAATGAACAAATTGAATAGTATATGGAAAAACGCGTCCTCATCAATGCCTTTCGAAGCTTTACACTTTTGTTAACTGTCCTCTTTGGGAAAGCTGATTACCTTCTCCACATCGAGTATCTTCCAAGAAAACGCTGTCGTTAATTTTTTCGGACATGTTAGTTTTTCCACAATCGGTTCGGAAGATTTTTACCAGCCACAACGAACAAATCTCATCATTACCCGGGTGATGCAGCTACCGAAGACTCCACCTGCTCACAACTGTCTAACGGGAAGCGCTTCGGCGACGCTGTCGGGTGTCATGCTCTTTTAATGAGAAGTGAAAGCTACCAAGCTGAATAAAATTTTTTACGGGAATATTGAATTATGCGACCTAGAACACTACTCAGGTACCACAGAATTATCAAGGGATATGGCAGTAGTGTTAAGTCATAACGGTGAGACGGAATAAGAGAGTATGAATGCCAAGCAATATTCAGCGCTTGCCTCACACGAAGCGCGTAATGACAGGCGCCCGCAGGAACCCGTGCATTTCTGCCAACGCAACTGTTACACTGATTACGTGGCGAAAACCGAAACGGAGACTAAATTTGGGGTAATCGAGGGACCACCTACACGAACGTGCCCAAAAAAAGAAATTCCACAAGCCTGTCTAGCGGAACTAGAACAGCGTCCAGATTGTCCATATAGTTGGCTAAAAATTCCAACCCGCATCGATTTATCTGAAAATTGCTGCGAAAGCATGCAAGCTTTCCTCTGGATTGTAAACACGTCCAGAGTTGCTGAAGTATGGGACAGTGTTGGCATTTCGCGAAGTATGTCTTCCCATTCCGTTAGTCTAGACCCACATTTCCCAGTAGATGTCCGCAACACTTTCAATCACTATTAATCGGAATCTAAAGTGCTCCACCGGGTCCCAAGTCCAGTTCCAAGCCTACTTTGCGGTATCACAAGTCGCAGCTATTTATGGCTTTCTGTATGACGTTTCTCATTTCCAAAATCAGTCGCTAATTCACTACACACTTGAGTTTTGTGCACCTCTTCATACACTTGCAAAATTAGGCTCTCAATAATGTGGTCAATGTGGAACGGTAGTCCCATGCTATTATAGTTTCGAAAAAAATGCAGATTTAGTGGGATGAAAAGCCAGTATTGTACGTGAACGATGTGCATAGACATAAGGTCGTAGTAGAGAAAAAGAGAGAGGTCACGTAAGATACTCCCTATATTTGTCAAATATTATTTTTAGCAGGCTATATCGCAATAAACAACTGACTCGGCAGTCACTCGTTTGGTTACTATAGCAACATGGGTAAAAAAACAGCACATCAATGTTTAGGTAGGTTGCGTAATGAATGTGCCACAAACCACGTAACGCGACAATCAGATGTTCAACAAACCGCGAACGCGTGGTACCTTGACAACTGAATTGGGGTAAAGAACTAAATCAGTCGGAGCTGGAAGGGCTCAATGATGGATCACTTTCAGCAGTTGATCTCATCACCATTCGGCAGTCTTTAGTCGTACTTGAATCGGATGAATGGGAAATCAAACTATAGTTGACTTTTTTAGTTAGACTTGACTAACTGGAGGTCCGTGGTTCGAACCCAACCCTGGCTTCACGATTGCTCCCATCTATGTTCGAGCAACGTGGCAGTGTTCCGGCCCTTGCATTTCCGATAAAATTCACGGGAGATACACATCAAAAGGGGGTCCAACTGATGAAGTTAACAAATTTATGCTGTCCGTGAAATTCTACGCCCCACGAAGAACAGGAGCCCCTGATGACAAGGGATCGATTGCATCGCCATACCCTGTGAGCAGACAAAAGCGAAAACACACAACTTTCAATACAACGTAGAGCGGACCAGTGAGATTCCACAACCCTGTAATGTAGGCAGTGATTTTTCCACTTTTCTACTTATGCACTTTTATTAGCGGTGTTTATATCACGAAATCTAAATATTTGACGGCTGCCTATGGAGGAAATTCCTCTAGCTGATATGGTCGAATTGACACAGTTCATCCATCTGCCGAATGAGAAGAATGCCACTAGGGGTGAACCAAATGAGATCTGGCTGGAGCGTGATATCGACAGCTTTGCTACCTGTCAGAATGGACGTCAGCCTGGTTCGGGACACAGCAGCAACGAGTTCACACCACGCAGATAAAACACACTGCTCCATTAACTAGGGCAGCTCGACATTTTTATGCGCGTGCGCTGTGCAGCCAAGGGGAATCAGAAAGATTACACAATCATTGCATGCGATCAATGTGCACACAAATTTACACAAAACTAGAAAAACGCTGTAGATGATCGTCTGATTAAACGCACTTGTGCACCATATCCTCTCCAGAGTTTTGGACCATTTCTTAAACAAATTGCCTATCGCTACAAAGTGGCGTGCATTATTGGACAGCATGCTTGCAATTGCGCTTCAATTTACTGACCCAAGGTATGCGATTCAAATACGTTTCGTAACTGCTTTTGCCACGTCCAAATACCAGTTAGCTACTTGTGGATGCAGCTGCATGACAGTACTCCATCGACGGTACTTACCCTGTACTTCCTGCAGGTTTCGCGAGTCATAATTTCAAAATATTTCCTACAAATTCACAAGGCGAAGCTGTCAAAACCGTATGCTCAAACAAAGTAGTATTCAGTAAATTGATGCCACTCACTGTTTCAAAACCAACGTCACTGACAGCAATACATCAATGATGCCCGTGTCAATCACCCAGAAAGAACCTCCGACAATCTCTCGTCAGTCCACAGTTGGAAGCCTCTCAGTCCTGATGGAATCCTCTCGAGATTTCTCCATAGCCTACACCGATGCCCCCAATACTTCTAGAATTCGAAATACACGCGTCTCTCCAGTAGTCTAGAGAATAACGCCCATTAAAAAGCGCCCACATTGACACCACAGGATTGCTCCTATCCTCTGATAAAGTCTTACTCTATGTCGAAACCGATTTTGCACATATTGTTTCGAGTATGCATGCAATTGCCGATGACGCCGCCATTCAGTGTTTCACAGCTTACTCGTCTACGCGCTCTGCTTGCCTACGGGCTCGTACAAAGCGCATACAGACCAAACGCGCCTTAGACGCTGAAGTTACTGAAATGGCCAAGAATGCCTGCTCTTCGGCAGCCATATTTTTCCCATTTACGTCTTTTCGTAACCCTCTGAGTCGTGCTTCTCCTGGTCTGCAGCTCTCTATTCACCCCTCATTCTCTGGGTCCTACATCATTATTAGAATGACATTATCTTCGAGGCAAGATGGCTCAGTGTTTGAAGCGCGAATTTACTGACCGGATAGTCCATCGTTCGAACCCGACCTCTGCTCCTCGACTTCTCCAGTCTAGGTTTGGGCAACCCGGCAGTACTCCAGCCCCCTCCTTCGGGTTCACGTGGGTGCTACAGCTGAATGAATGGTGATGACATGACCTTACAGGCCTTCATGTTCTGAACCGGTAAAGTCACTTCAAAAAATAAGCTTCCTATACTGTTGTCGAAAAATACCTTGAGATCGCTTCGATTGATCTTTTGGATAAAGCGCGCAAATCCACCTGACGCTCGTGCATCAAAGCTTTTGCTTTCAATGAGAATCTACCCAGTTCCCAAATCAACTGAACACGCCATAGCGTCCACTGTTTGGATGTGCCTCACACTCTCCCACCCCTCAGTGATCGAAATTGTAACAGCCGGAACCGATGTAACCATGGTACACGGTTCATATTTGGTAAATTGGAATTGAATTCGGTTTCAAAAGTCTCAATCAAACAAACTCACTTTCGTCTAAACCATCTTGTAAAGTCAACCTTCCCAAATAACAAACCGATGATTTTGTCTCCTTTCTTCAAACTCCTTGAGACTCGTGTTAACACACACATCAAAAGTCCACCGGACATGCTGTTTACAAATCGCTTGTGTATTTTGGCACCAACTTATGAAGAGCTCTCAGACGATCGACGTGTTCATCCTTTGCAATCCATGTTTACGCGTACTAAAAGTCCATTTATCCGCTTTTCCTCTGATCGATGCCATCGGTATTCGCATTATCGATTTTTCCAACGTTTCCCCGCCAGATGATCTTGACCACACTATGTGAGATTTCACAGGATATGTTAGGAGGCAAAATTTTCACAACGGGGAACTTCTGTGGGTTGGGACTCATGGCTTTGCGAAGGGAAGCAAACTCAATTTTCTTCTCAAATCAGATGGCTTCTACCAATAATTTGTATTTTTCAGAGGCTCAAACGAACCAGATATAGTCACCCATTTGTCAGCACCGACGTCGTCAGCTTCTATCAAACATTTGCAACTGGACGCTTGTTTCACCATCCCACACAAGTGTACTCAAGTGAAGCTGAGAATGACAGAGCGACGGCTGTATTAGCCAATCGTCCTATGACATTTCGGCCACAATGAAGCTAAGGTTATTGGTTTAATCAATGACTCTGCGACTCAAACAGCGGGCAGCACAGCCTCGCACACTGTTACTTTGTGCGTATCCTTAACCGGAATCTCATACATATTGACGAGTGGCAACGACTCAGTGTGTGTTAGTTTCATTCGAGAAAAATAGTACTCAAATGATCGAATGACAGATGGATCACTCGGAAGAACCTCGTTCTCCCTCATGTGAGTACAGTTTAGTACGATCAACCCAAGGTACTCACATGGGCCAACCTACTCAGCGGCTACGGTAAGCTCGTTTCAGTACCAGTCCGATGACAGTTCAACCTCGTGGGACGAATGTTGGTTAAACTGACAGGTTACTGGTTTTGACTAAAGTCGTTAGCTAATGGCGACCTATAGAGAACATCGATATGGCATGATAACAAGGGAGTGGCATTATGCTGAAACTTAAGCAATCTGCTGAATACTGCAAGCACTCTACGTAGAGAACATAACTTGGTGAGGGTGCTCATTGTTAGTCATAATGTTTAGGTTGGCAATAACTCGAAGCAGCTCTCTGAAGGTTTGCCTGCCCTCAGATCTAAGCCAATAGCAAGAACGTGTATATAGCAGTACATTTGGCTTCACAAAAACTGATTACGACCTACTAATTACGCGCGGAGATGCAGTTGCTTAACCACCGTTCAACAGCAAACTCATCTCGAATGTCACAAACTCGATTACTGTGACTCTGAACTCTGCTGACCACACTCGCCTTGACAGTTGACTCGCAAAACAAAAGTTGCCCAAACTGACCATCAAAACAACAAGGGTTGCTCATAGAGAGAAGGAGGAATAACACTGTACACGACAAGACACGGTAGGCTCTCACCTAGTCCCTTGTAGTGCAGGTTGCCGGAGGGTCCTCGTACGTCTATGTATTGGTCACGTGGGATGTTCATCAAGTATTGCGACATTTTCCCGCCCCGAGGGAAGCTCGGGTTGGTGTTCGCCTTGTACACCTTAAGAAAATGAGGAAGATAAAATGGTCAGGAGAATTATACCGCACAAACCGGGGCGATAATTCTATCGAAGTGCTCCGATATAAACATAAGAACCTCCGATAAACTAATAACCAATGGCCTTATGAGCTGAACGTCAATTACAGTGGAAAACAATCCGAACAAAGTGAAGGTACCAAAATGTGGTTGGTCCTGAACAAAGCGGTTTCAGGCGAACAAATAGAACAATGAATCGGGAAGCGCTTGGGAGTGACTGTGAGGTCATCGTTCCAGAAAGATTTGGTACACAATCCTCACTATCTACTCATCAATAATATAGAATCGTCGGTCCTCTGAAACGAAAGGAAACAAAGTTCGAAGGGCCCGAATCTCCTCCGAATCGTCAACAAAAGCAGTCAAACACAGAAAACCCGTATAATACATCGTCATCATCATCATTGTCAGCTGTAATAACCGCGTACTCGTCGTACTGTGGTTGTAGCTGCCGCAGTTTCGTTCACCGATGGTTTGGGTATAATACGCCAAGAGTTTGTAACAATATCTAATGCGTGAACGTCAAAAGTCGTGATGCAGGACAATTATAAGACATAGGGAAAAGGGAACGTGTCTAGTGATAAGATTTACACAATTAATCCATTACATCTAAAACTAAAGAGCCTAATCCATCAGTATAAATGCAATCTGACAATCAGTCGGTCATCGAACTTAGTTAGCAGCTACATCAACCAGTGTTTCTAGTTAACTGCAGTGAGGCGCGCTCACCTCATCCTCCAAAACGAGCTGCAGTAAACATAGCTAGAAGTTTAGAAGCTACCTTCAGGACTTTTTCTTTCTAGTTTGCACCACAATTCTTTGGACAGAGAGCATTTATTGATCCACAATTGAGAACAACTGTACGAAATACAGTCTGCTCCAAAACAACACAGACGCGTCCAGCAAACATGAGACGGCACCATCTCTGAATGGTGACGGAACGTATGTAGGACACGCGAGAGAGAACAAACTTTGGTGTGTTCACACAGTTGAAGCCAATGCCACGTACACATCAGTCGATGTGTGCGCTCGGATTGAGTAAATATCCAACAGTGGATGACACACCGGATCCTTCTACCCAGGATTTCGCGGAACGACAATGGACGCATAAATCCTCGGGCATCCAATCGTGCACACGCCATTAGTGTCGCTAAGTAGTACATGTGAACGAAGCCAGAACCAACACGACTCGCACGTATGTGAAGTTTCTTTCTAATGTAGATGCAGAGAGAGCGTTCAGATTGAACAAGCTCTGCTCACTTCAGGTTGACCACCAGAAAGGAAGGACTACTACACACAAAAATTGTGGTAAGGATATACGTTCACGTATTACCCCGTGCTCTACGTGGTAAACCATGGAGACTTCACACAAGTGTTGAATTCGGTTTATTTTGATGGCCTTCCTTACACCCCCCAGTAGCTGTTCCGGTAAGTACAACTTGCGAAGCAAGGAAGTGACGGAGTTTCGAATACTCTACATAAGAATGAGTGTCATAATAAGGTTCCGGGGTTTAGGATCGGACAAAGGGTTTGTCACTGCTGCGCATCAAACAGTCCTGAGCAGAGTTTCCGTGAAACACGGGGAGAAAACAAGTGTCAGAAGATCACCCCTTTTCAACCACAACGAACAGATAAGACACATGTGTTAGATGGTGGTAGATTAACTCGTACCGAATTAGTATACATTAGAATTCGTAACAAAAGCCATGCCAATAGTGGCTGATTCAACCAAATCTTTCCAAGCGCGATGCCTCAATGCAACCTTGACACCCATTGTTCTCCAAAGCCTTATAACGATTTAGTCACTATTTGTTGTATCGATTCAGATGAAAGATGTAGTGCCAGTCAAATAAAATTTTGCAATGTAGACTAAACAAAGGCTATACTATTCATTGAAAACCAAGATACGGTCTGCCGAAATACCATCAAGGTGATATAGGCGTTCGTGTGGAATTGTTGCATCGATTGGTCAACTGGAAGGTTAACGTCCAAGCCACAATCTGCTCACCATACATTGCTCACAAGAAACACCATTCTGTGTTTGGAGAGATATTTCTCAATTGAAAGCCGAAATAAAACAGCTACGAAAACTCCATTTTCTCAGCACTGTTGGGCGGAAAGCTGATGATAACACCTCTAGAAGTAGAAAATATGTTATTATGCAAGACTTCCAACGTTTTCGTTCAAAACGTAAGCTACTAGATGGATGACAGAAACATAGGTGTATCTGCGCCTCTATCCTACAATAAAACCATGAGTGTCATGGGCAATTCTGACTATCCGTAAGCACTATCTTTAACCTCTCTTAGTTCCTTCACCTTTAGCGGATTTCACAGGGCATGCGTCCTCCATAGTCTGAAGGATTCCTATTCGTAGCGAGTGCGTAAACGTCAGGTTTTCGGTATCTCGTTCTGGGAGGGGGCACGTGACATTAGATGTGACCCTCAGATTCCTCACCAACCTTAGCGAACAATTTAACTCCTCTGACATTGGCTTCAAGCCTGACTGAAACCGACCTTACTTTGATCAACTCTATTCGTCTCATGTATGAGTGAACCGGAGGATAGGATGTCAAAACAATCTTTGCACAATCTTTGCCGTCCATCTCCAATAGACTGGAAGATCTGACCCAGTACTTGGTTCCTATCCAACGAAAATAAACATTTAATTAGTGTTGCTTGATATCTTCTTCGTTATAACGGAGCAACGCAATCGATAGAGACTGTCAAGTGCTAAAGGAACTAACTCCACAGACTTCGGAATTCGTCTTGTTGCCTCGCAGAGACAAACAGCTTTGCTCCCCGAAGAGATACAAACACTTCCGCATAGCAGCTAACTCCCGTTGTTTAGGAACAGGGGGAACCACTATTGCAGTCTACGCTTTCAGCCGCACACTAACACACACCTGCAACATACTGAATGAGTGAGATTCAGTGTAGTTTGCGTTGTGCATGGACTATGCTTCCAGCAAGGCAAAATGCATCTAAATCACCCGCCAGAAGGACTCCTTTTTACTGAAAGACCGGGGACCTCAAAGGTATTTATTAGATCGAAGTTCCTTATGGCATTTTAAGGATATTGCTCGAAATAGGACTCCTTATAAAGCAACAGCACTGTACAACTATGTGCAAGGGTCATGCACCATAGCGCAGTGAACTCGGTCTGGCCATACTAAGCAGAGGGATGCAAGTATACGACGTACAAACCTATGTTCAACTGTTACGAAGAGGCCAGAACTTGGAGTCAAGTGGCAGCTCGCGCGTCTCCTTGACAAAATCGGTCAGACTGAGTGGTGTCCGTGAGATACTCGTACAGTCTATCATATCAGATTGATGGTTAGAGATTACCCTGACCTAAAGCTATCACCCTGTTGTGGTGAACGAGCCGGTGCGCTGTAATGATCCTTTGGAATATACTGACTAGAACTCAGTTCCTAAAGATTGAACCATGCTGAGAACGTCAAGGAGGAGCAGTCCGACGAAGAACAGCGAGCCCCATACTGCGAGAAGTTATACTACGAGGTAGGCTGGATGAAAACTCGTACTGTCACCTGCGACAGGAGTGGGAAGGCAGTGAGACATTTCCTTCAGGTGACCAACATGTCCATATTTAATGAAGTAGCGATTGCCAACATTCCCGAGTAAGGACGGATTAGAAAACATTCACCCTAAAAGCCACACAATCCGATCGCACAACAGTTAACCGTGACCGCAAGCGCATTATTCAATACGGCCGAAACACTCTTAAAACTAAAAATTCTGTTGCCACTGAAAAGGCACATGCTGTGCGCAGTCACATTGGGAGTGAGACAATAGTGCATTACTCCTTGCATTCTCGGTTGCGTCGGTTCCCACAGCCAAGTGGGTCAGATTTTCGAGTCATTGGTTCTGGGAAGGTCCCTCAAGGAAACCCTAACAACCGCTGCGTCGCGGTTCAGACTTTTCAGTCAAAGGAGAGGGACACGGTCCTCGAACAAAACCCTAAATCCTCAAACTGCATTGTTGGTCAGACTTTGGAATCAAAGACTGAGGGAATTGTCATTCGTTCTTGCAGCTCTTCGCTCACCGGCCTCCCCCTACACTCCCTCTCCACCCATCGAACAATGCAATGCGATCACCTCAACTGCCATGACCCTAGCCAGTGTTCTGCGTCTGAAACATTGTCCAGGAAAATAAACCGAAATAATCACTCGTTATTCACTTGTTGCAGCCGTTAATGTCCGTAGTCTATGTCAAATTGAGAAAACTGCATCCCTTGCTGAAACCGTGCTTTCTTTCTCTATCAATGTATGTTGTATCTCCGAAACACGCATAGAAGACCCAACCTCGGTCATGCACTTCAAGCCGATCAGGACGAGCCCAGATGTTCCACATTCCGCTCTTCGGGTATCTGTTGATGCTGACGTAATGGCTCGTGGTATCTACGGTGTGGAAGTTGCACTTAGTCCAAAAGCTGAATTCGCTTTACTGAAATGGATCCCATTATATAGTTGTCTTTTTGCTGTGTGGTTGCCTGGCACAATTAAGATCAAGATAGTTCGATGTATCCGCAAACACCCTGACAGACCGCTGAATTCGCTTTACTGAAATGGATCCCAGTATATAGTTATCTTTTTGCTGTGCGGTTGCTTGGCACAATTAAGATCAAGACAGTTCAATGTAAACGGTTATGTTTGCTGTATCCGCAAACACCCTGACAGACTGCAGTTCTGATAAACATTAACTTTATGGAGATCCGTCGCGACTGACTCAGTCAGCAAGAAAGATGGATACAGTAATCCTGGCAGTCAACATGAATGCCCAATTTGGTCGACCAAGCCCAGAGAAAGCATAGTTATGTGGTAGGGTTCGGGTCGATGCTCAGCGTACGGATAACGGGGAGCGACTGCTTCAGTTGTTCCAGGCCAGTACGAACTTCAAGCACAAACGCTCACATCAAGTTACCTGAAGGCCACCAACCGCAAGACAGTCATGGA